GATTAAAAAAAAGATATATTAAAAAGAACGTTAGAGTCCTAAATAGCGTTTTAAAATATAAAAAAGGAGCTAGGAAAGGGAAACCTTAAACTATAAAAAGATAATTATTATTATATTAATAAACTTTTCTTTTACTAAATATTTAAAAAAACCTTTAAAAATCGTTTATACTACTTATTAACTAAGTACGAAGTAGTCTCCTCTTTAATAAATAATAGAGTTTTAAAAGTTAAAGGATTTACGGAAATACTTATTAAATTAGAATACTTAAAATTAGCTTTTTTAGTTAAGTAATAGGGGAGTATTATAAATATATCTACTAGGATAAGAATAGTTTTTATATAAATCCGAATATATATATAATAATATAAGCTTTAAAAATTATAGGTTAACTTAAAGGATTTTTATTTATAAAGCGGGCCCGAGGTATTATAATTATAAAGCTTTTTATAAAAAAATAGTTTTATAACTAACTAAAAGAAGGGTATTAATAACTACTTAATAAGCTATTTTATAAAAGAGCTAGGCTTAAAAAAGGAGCGAGGATTTTTAAATACGATTTATTAGTTTATTACGCTAAGGATTCTAATTAATATATTAAAATTAGGTATTTTAATATTTTTATTAAAAAATATTAACTTATAATATAAGTAGCTAAAAACTAAAAAAGAATAGGGAGGTCTCGGTTTATTAAAAAAAAAAAAAAAAAATTAGTTTATAATTTATTAATAAAGAGGGTACCGTTTATATAGAACTTATATAATATAGTAAAAACGAGTATAATAAATAGGATTTTAATAAAAAAGAATCTTAAAATAACGAAGGCTCTATAGTAAATTTAAAAAGGAAAGTTAAAACAAAAAGTAATAAATTTACTATTATTTTTATTTATTAAAAGGATTAGAATAAGAAATATAATTAAAGTTAACTAAGTTATAAATTCTAAACTTTTTTTACTCGCTAATAATAAATAAAAAGTTAGCTTAGCTAGTTAACTAGGTTATAGATTCTAGAATTCTTTTACTCGTTAATAGTAAGTAAAAAGCTAGCTCAGCTAGTTAAATAAGGTATTTAATACCTAAATTCTTTTACTTACTAATAGTAAGTAAAAAGTTAGCTCGGCTAGTTAAATAAAGTATTTAATACTTAATTTCTTTTACTTACTAATAATAAATAAAAGGTTAGTTCGGCTAGTTAAACGAGGTATTTAATAACTAAATTCTTTTACTTACTAATAGTAAATAAAAAGTTAGCTTAGCTAGTTAACTAAGTTATAGATTCTAAAATTCTTTTACTTATTAATAGTAAATAAAAAGCTAGCTCGGCTAGTTAAACGAAGTATTTAATACTTAATTTCTTTTACTTACTAATAGCAAGTAAAAAGTTAGCTTAGCTAGTTAACTAGGTTATAGATTCTAAAATTTTTTTACTTACTAATAATAAGTAAAAAGCTAGCTCGGCTAGTTAAACGAAGTATTTAATACTTAATTTCTTTTACTTACTAATAGTAAGTAAAAAGTTAGCTTAGCTAGTTAAACGAGGTATTTAATAACTAAATTCTTTTATTTACTAATAGTAAGTAAAAAGTTAGCCTAGGTATTTAGGGTTTATAAAGCTTAAATATTTCTTTATCTTACTAATAATATATAAAAAGTTAATAGAGGTAGTAAGTAGTTAGGGTTTATAAATCCTAAATTATTCTTTAACTCGTTAATAACGAGTAAAAGGTTAGCTTAGGTAGTTAATATAGGTATTTAGGATTAAAATCTTTTCACTTACTATTAGTAAGTAAAAAGCTGGCTAAGGTAGTAAGTATTTAAGATTTATAAATTTTAAATTTTCTTTTTAAGCCTAACCCTTTAGTACTTAATTAATTATTACTTATTACGCCCGAAGCGATTATTTTTAAAACTATTACTTTTAAAACTATTATTTTTAGATCCGTAGCTCCTAAAGCTATAGCTTCTAAAGAGCTATTATTTTTAAAGTAGTCGTTTCTAGAGCTATAGTTTATAAAACTATTATTTTTAAAAAGCTATTATTTTTATAATAGTTACTTTTAGAGCTATAGCTTTTAAAGCTATTATTTCTAGGGAGCTATTACTTTTATAGTAGTTATTTCTAAAACTATAGCCTCTAAAGTTATTATTTTTAAAGAGCTATTATTTTTTATAATAGTTACTTCTAGAGCTATGGCCTCTAAAGCTATTATTTTTAGAGAGCTATTACTTTTATAGTAGTTATTTTTAGAGCTATGGCCTCTAAAGTTATTATTTCTAGAGGGTTATTATTTTTAGAATAGTTATTTTTAGAGCTATAGCCTCTAAAACTATAGCCTCTAGAGGGCTATTACTTTTAAAATAGTCGCTTCTAGAGCTATAGTTTTTAAAACTATAGCCTCTAGAGCTATAGCCTTTAGGGCTATAGCCTATATAATACCTCTATATTTTTAAAATACGTCGAGCCCTCTAAAATAATAAAAGGGAAGGGCGCGTTTTAATAATAATAATAATACTAAAGCATAGTTACTACGCTCTAAAGCCCGTAAAAATACTTAACTATACCTTACTATTCCTAAAAAGAGCTATTATATTATAATAAGTAAGTATTATAATCCTGTATTTACTTATAATATTTATATATAATAGCCTAGGCCCGGTCTATATAAGCCCTTTAGTTTAAGTTTAGATTCTTAACGGACCCCGGCCGAGGGGCCCGGACTAATATCCTAATATAATTATAAGGTACTTAAGGTATTAGCGTTTATAATATTACCTCGCTATAATACGGTTATTAAAAAGTAGTTATAGTAATAATAAGTACGTTTATAGCCTCTTAGCTAGTTAAGAAAGAGGGTACTTATATTAAACTATATTAAAAACTTTATTTACTCGCGCTATACCGATGCTAATTACTAAGGGGGGGCTTATTATTAATATTACTAGCCTAAGTTATATTTTAAAAAAACGGAGCCCCGAGCTACTTTTTTATTATTTTTATTAATTCTTATACCTTTTAAATATAATATATTAATACCCTCGTATAGCGCTATTTATAGTATTTATATTACGCCGTACTTATTAAAGTTATAGCGTATTTTAATTATTTATAAACTAAGGTAAGTAATTATACTAGGCCCCGTTACTTTTTAATATAATATATTAACGCTCTTATATAGCGCCGCTTTTTATAGCGCTTATATTTTATTATACCTCGAGCTTATTAAAATTATAGTATATTTTAGTTATTTATAAACTAGGGTAAGTTATTATACTAGGCCCCGTTACTTTTTAATATAATATATTAATATTTTTATATAGCGCGCTATTTTTATTAGTACTTATACTACGCCGTACTTACTATACTTTAGGCTAGCGTTTATAAAGTATTATAAAGCTTTTTAAAATAGTATATACTTTATATTAAAAAAGCTTTTATTATACTACTTAAAGGTTTTAGTTATTACGCTCTAACTTTTAATTATAGTACTTAAAAGCTTTAGCTATAGCCCTAAGGCTTTAATTATAGTACTTAATTACTTTAGCTATAGCGCTTAGCCTACAGCTATAATACTTATAACTTTTAACCTTTAATTATAGTACTTAACCTTTTATTTTTAGTTATAATACTTATAAGCTTTAGCTATAGCCCTACTATACTTTTAGCTATAATACTTAACTTTTTATTTTTAGTTATAGCCCTTTATTATATTTTTAGTAGCCGCATAGCTAAAAACCTTTAGTTATAGTACTTAACTTTTTACTTTTAGTTATAATACTTATAAGCTTTAACTATAAGCTTATTATACCTTCGGCTACGTAACTAAAAACCTTTAGCTATAATACGTAACTCCCGCTCGACTTTTTATTATAACGCCCTATAATTTTTAACTATATAACTAATTAAAAACTTTTAATTACGGCACGCTATATAATTAAAACTAAAAACTTTTAGCTATAGTTATAGCGTATTATATAACTAAAATTAAAAACCTTTAGCTATAGCTATAATACTTAACTTTTTATTTTTAATTATAATACTTACGAGCTTTAGCTATAGGCCTATTATATTTTCGGCTATATAACTAAAATATTTAGTTATAGCTATAGTACTAAACCTTTTATTTTTAGTTATAGTACCTACGGGCTTTAGCTATAAGCCTATTATATTTTTAGCTACGTAGCTAAAAACCTTTAGTTATAAGCTTATTATATTTTTAGCTACGTAGTTAAAAACCTTTAGTTATAGTACTTAACCCCCGCTCGACTTTTTATTATAACGCCCTATAACTTTTAGCTATATAGTTAACTAAGAACTTTTAGCTATAGCGCTTAATTATATAACTTTTTATTACGATACCCTATAACTTTTTATTATATAACTAGAGCTTTAGTTATAGGCTTATTATAAACCTTCGGCCTGCGTAATTTAAAACTAAAACCTTTAGTTATAGTACCTCTATCTAAGCTCGGGCTATTACTACTCCCGCTCTTACTCCTAGTTACTTATTAATTAGCTTTAGCTACCCCGTAACCTTTAGCCGCGCCGCGCATTAGGCTAAGGAAATAAATACTTAAAGTGTCCTAATTAAAGTTCCCGGCGCGAAAATAGACATAAAAAAATACAGTAAGAATAGCAGTAGATACTTACGAAGTTTAACTAAGGTTTTAAAAAAATAGCTTATTACTTATTTAGCTTATCTATATCCCTCGGACCGAGAGAAAGAGGAATTAAAAGAGCGTACGGGATTAAACCTTAAGTAGATATTTTATTAGTTTGTTAATGCCCGTCGTCGCGGTGGGCTTAAATCTTCTTAAGACTTGCCGATGCCTAACGACGAGTCATCGCTAGCAATATGGTCCTTCGGGGACAATCCTTTAAGTACTCAGAGTTAAGAATGGGGTTATATAAACCCCTTAAATCGCTGGAGACACTCTCCGCTAGACGAAGAGCCGGTCTCCTTGGATGCTATTGTAGATGCTATTATACGCACTGGCTCTATGCCCGACTTTAACTTAACTTACTTCCAGGACTGGACCGCACCTGCGAGCTGGAGTTATGGCCTGAGTATTCCCATAGTGGGATTATTATGCTCGCTAGGGTCTTCGGACCAGAGTCACTCTAGCAATTCGTCTGCGCACTCGTATGGCTCTGATTCATTCCTAAACATCCGAGCCCAGGACACTCGTCGACGCCGACGCCGGAAGAACCACAAGTATCGCAATCCACTGAACGTGGCCAAAGACGATGCTAATCGCATCTATCAATGCACTTTCTGCACCGACACTTTCAGATCCAGATATGACTGGACACGACACGAAGGCACCCTTCACCTCGTTCTCGAGAAATGGACCTGTTCACCCTACGGGCCGAGGTTCTGCGGTCCCAACGGCGACGAAGCTCTCTGTGCCTTCTGCGGTGAATTCAACCCCGCCAACGAACATATCCAGACGCACAGGTACCAAGAATGTGCGGCGAAGCCGCAAAGCGCCCGCGTCTTCTATCGCAAAGACCATCTGCGTCAACACCTTCGCTTAGCCCATCAAGTCAACGAGATACTGCCATCCATGAATGCTTGGAAGTCTAAGGTTACGAAGCTGAAGTCGCGATGCGGGTTTTGTGGTGAAACCTTCACCGAGTGGTCTGCTCGCAACGATCACATTGTCGACCATTACCGAGAAGGTGCTCTGATGAAGGACTGGAAAGGTTGTCGGGGTTTCGAGCCAGCCGTTGCGTTACTCGTTCAAAATGCCATGCCGCCGTATCTGATCGGTGCCGAGGCCAACAACATCGAACCTTTCAGTGCTTCACGCGGCGCCTCACGATCACCCGATGCGGACGCCATCGGATCAAGCATGCCGTCGCAGTTCGAGTCCTTGACAGCTAAACTTGGCGACTACGTCAAGACTGCGATGAGAAATGGAGAGTCTGTGACAGACGACTCGATTCGAAGGGAAGCTCGAATCATCCTATGTGAGAATTGTTCCCTCTCGCGAATTTTGAAGATAAGCCAGGCAGCGAAATCTAACAATCTGGACAAGACTCCGAGGACGATCCTTGGCATCAGACGCCAGCAGACAATCTAGATTATCTGAAGTTGTTCAAGGCTGGTTACGGCCTACCCTCGGACACAGAACCGGGATCGTTTGCCCCAACATTCTCTGCCGGAAACGAGTTAATGGATTTCACGATCGACTCACTCAATTCCACGGACTCGACGATCATGGCGCCGTTCACTTTTGAAAATATGCAGCATGCAGCCACTTCAACTTCCGCCGCTGTTCCATTGGATTTATATGACGGTTCGCTGGATGAGTTCTCTGTGAATGGATTGAATGTTCCGTGGTTGTGGCAGACTCCAGAGTGTCTAGCTGAATTCAGGCAGATGAGCTGCATGTCTTCAACGAACATGCCTAGACTTGAGGACAACTGCACCTTGAATGATCCTTTCTTCGGAATGCCAGCTTTGGAGCCTACCTTGGGACTAGATGAAAATGTTAATAAGAAGTAAGTTGGGCAATAGGTACCAAGTAGGAGTTGCTGGTGCATTGCCAAATGAGGTTGGGATGTTGGGTTGCGTTTCAAATCACATCACGTCAATATTTGTACGGTCTAATGTATTAAGTTGGATTCAACGACCTGGACAGCTTCCTCCAGAGCGACTTGAAGGTCTGCAACGAGGTCTTCCACGTCCTCAATACCGACACTCAATCGAATCAAGTCATCATAAACCCCAACAGCCTCTCTAGCCTCCCGCGGCATAGAAGCATGCGTCATTTTCGCAGGTATTTCGCAGAGGCTCTCGACACCACCCAAGCTCTCCGCAAGAGTGAAATACTTGGTTCGCTTGCAAAACTGAGCTGCAGAAACCCCGCCTCCTCGAATCCGGAAGGATATCATGGCACCTCCCATTCCACCCCTGTGTTGCTTGACCGTAATGTGGTAATGGGGGTGCGAGACGAGGCCTGGGTAGTTTACCGACAACACATGGGGGGAGTCTTCGAGGACAGCTGCGAGAGCTGCTGCGTTGTCTGACGCAGCACGGGCTCTGAGATGCAAGGTCTTGATGCCACGATGAGCTAGCCAGCAGTCGAAGGGGCTTGGAACACTACTGGCCGATGTCAGAATGAAGCTGAGCTTTTCTTTGATATGATCCGAGTTTAGCGCAATGGCACCCATCAACACATCCTTCAGAACGTTAGCAATGCACAACATATCTGGCATGCCGATGCTGTCTTTGCAATGAAGGAGGCACTCTTACGCTGTGCCCGTTGATATACTTAGTCACGGAATGCAGCACGATATCTGCGCCATGGTCCAGCGGGTTCTGGAGATACGGGGACAGCAAGGTGCTGTCGACAACTACCACAATCCCTCTTGCATGAGCCACCTCCGCGACTGACCGAATATCGATCAGAGAAAGAGTCGGGTTGCTGGGAGTCTCAATTCAGATCAATTTGGTGTTGTGTTTGAGGTATTGGGTCACATCTTTCTCAAGAGACGGGATGAAGTCTACCGTGACACAATTCGTGTCCGCGACTCTCGTTAAGAAGCGGTAAGTGCCTCCGTACAAGTCGGCATTGCAAATGACGTGGCGGTTGAATGCTAGGCCCTGGACGATTGCCGCCGTAGCTGCGAGTCCCGACGAAAATGCCAATGCATGCTTGGCACGTTCAAGTTTAGCCAAAGCATGTTCGAAGCTTTCTCGATTGGGATTGTTGGATCGCGAGTAGATATATTTGCTGGTAGGTTGGGCGACGTCCGGCTGGACAAAGGTCGTGGATAGATAGATCTAGTAGACGAGCTAGCTTATTAGCATTCGACTTGCTTGGAAGTTTTCTCAGGGTCTTGCCGGTTCTGAAAGAGCGCCCGTTGCCAGATCATGCGGTGATCCGGCATGCACAGCTTCGGTACCAAAGCCAAAAGTTCCATTGGTGGGAGATTCAGAAATCATGTTGTTGTTTGGGCGTTTGAGTCAAGTTACGGTAAATAAGTATCGATAACAAAACAAAATACATGCAGAAATGCTAAGATACGAGAGAGCGTTTCAAAAGGAAATAGCATGGGCTGAGAAGCAGACTGTCCTATGTATACAGACTGAGAAGCGTACGTTGACACAGGGCGGCGGGAGCTGCCATTTGAGTGGGTAGGGTACGCATTGGCTCGGGTCTACTGACAAGGCCTACTTCTTACAAATGCGCTCATCGGCTCGAATGACTGTCATCGGGGCCTCTTTTCTTCGATGCTGCATGTTTAAGCAGGTCCTCATTCATGCGTCTTCCTTGAGATTTGCGCACTACTCACAACGGTCAACTCGGAGCTCTTGAACCAAGCCATCACCATGGCCGCCGTACCTCTTCCCCCTATCACAGACTCGGTCATTCACCACATCGGGAACACGCCGCTTGTTCGGCTGAAGCACTTACCCCAGACTGAAGGCATTCGTGCTGATATTCTCGCCAAGTTGGAGTATCAGAATGCCGGTGGCTCTGTGAAAGACAGGGTTGCGAAGGCAATGATTGAAAAGGCGGAAGATCAGGGAACAGGCAAGCCGGGAGATACTCTAATTGAAGCTACCAGCGGCAATACGTGAGTCTCCATCCCATTCGAGAGGCCTGCTTGACACTGATAGCGTTCTAAGTGGTATCGCTCTTGCTCTCATTGCTGCAGTCAAGGGATACAAATGTATTATTACAATATCGGAGAAGATGTCTGAGGAGAAGGTTTTGATCCTGAAAGCACTTGGCGCGACAATTGTTCGAACTCCCGCAGGCGTTCCGATCGATTCGCCCCATTCGATTATCAGCGTTGCTCGGAAGCTCAAGAGCGAGACACCCAACTCGCATATTCTCAACCAGTACGGAAACCCGAACAACCCTCTGGCCCATGAGATTGGCACTGCCCAGGAGTTATGGGCCCAATGCGATGGCAAGCTCGACATTGTTATAGCCGGTGCAGGAACTGGTGGCACAGTCACTGGACTTTCGAGAGGCCTACGGAAGCTGAAGGGAGATATTCTGGTGGTTGGTGCCGACCCAATCGGATCTGTGCTGGCTCAGCCTGACGACTCGAATTCGGCAAAGGCGGAGTATAAGGTCGAGGGCATTGGGTACGACTTTGTGCCGGACGTGCTCGACCAATCTGCTGCCGATGTTTGGGTCAAGACGGGAGATGAGGAATCGTTCAAGTATGCCCGGAGACTCATCAGAGAGGAGGGGTTACTTTGCGGCGGATCTTCTGGCGCAGCTGTGGCTGCGCTCATCAAATTGATGCAGCAGAGGCCGGAGATGAATCGTAGTGACGTCAGAGTTGTCTTGATCTTGCCGGACGGCATTCGTAACTACCTCACCAAGTTTGTGGACGATGCTTGGATGGAACGAAACCCTCTGTCATCATAGCCAGTCAATCTTGAAATACACTGTAATCTTTCTGTGAAAACAACGAGGTATCCTGGAGTGAACTAGGTTGACAACTTGCATGCCATGCTACATTGATGACGGTCCGTGTTGCCGGCGGTCCTGTGGGGCCAAGCTCCAGTGCCCCACCTAGAGGTGTCGTCCAACGCCCTGAAAATGCCATCCAACGCCTTGCGACGTGCCATTTCCCGAGTCAGAGGTTTCACTACACGTGAATCGCCCTTCTTCAAACGTCATCAAGAAATGGCTTTCCTTGCAAGTACGGCGCCAAATTACCCAAGACGCAAGCAGATTCACGAAGAACAATGCGTGGTTTGTGAACACGAGGGTCCGCCTCGTTTCCGTTCAAAGTACATGTCACATGCTAGCAGCTCATGCCCAGATGACGACATTGTGTGAGATAACTTATAATTCTTACATCAATTGTCTTCTACCTCTATGGTAAATGGGAATAAGTGAGGCCGTGCATATGTTGACAACTGGCTTATCACGAAAAGCTTCGATAGTGTCTGTCTGGCTGCAGCCCGTCGTTGGTGATTGGGAAGTTCATCTTCTCTCACCTATTACTCCGTGGAATCTTGCGGCCCCTGTTCTCTGGGCTGCTAGTCCGACACAACAATTGATCTTCGTGTATGTTCGTTATTAGACCTTCAACTTGCTATTTACTTTCGTGCCCACACGCTGACCATATCCGTCCCCTTGCCATTCTTGTAAGATCGCGGCGGCTTGAAGCATGACACCCTTTTGAATGACCCTGCCGATGCCTTACTATCCAAATTCTCAAGAAGCGGCTCCTTTATCATTCCATCACCGCCCTCAGCAAGTAAATTCCAGTAAACACCGTTCAGACCCCAAGGCGGTCCTAAGAGATTGAGGTCCTTGTAGAGCGGAAACTCGAGGCACACGAGAACGCCAGTCGGTGACAAGAGTTCGTGCATGCGTTTCGCCCAATCTTTTCGCATCTCGGGAAGTAGGGCACAGAGAAACTGAGACAGATGTCAGTGATGCAGCTGAGCCAATATATCAAAGGATTTTGCTGTACCGTGTAGTCGTAGATCAAGTCGAAGCCCCGAAAAGCATCCTCGTCGCTGGCCATGCAATGATCTTCCCAGTCCCGCTCAAAGAAGTCGCCGGATATAATCTTGATATCACCAGGCCATGTGCCGGGGACACTGGCAGGAGTGCCAAAATTGTACTCCGTCGGTTCTGGAAGCTCTGTCTCGGCATATTTGCGCGCAGTCTCTGCACCCTTTTCCGAGACTTCCAGGCCGTACACGTCAAAGCCGTGTAGCGCGAGCATCACGACATCGTAGCCCTTTCCGCAGCCCTGTTTATGTCAATGAGTTTCGAGAATCAGTGGGCAGGTAGGTTTCGCTCACGGGCACCAGCACTTTCGGACGCCGTCCGCCAGTCGCACGAGGAATCCCTTCGGCCCTGGATTCGATGAGGTCGATGAGAGCCGGCGACGGCTTGCCTCTGTCCCAAAGATCACTCTCATCGGAATCCCACAGCTCAGACCAACCTGCTATCTGTTTGTCGCGGTCTCTGGTATCCCCCATAAAATGTCAGTAAGCTGCGATTACCAGATCGGATCGGATTCTCGCTCGAGTTCCTACTGACCGGGTCGTGAAGTGCGTTATGAGTCGAGCAGGACCGTCGGGATTGGGAGCTGCCATTTCGAACAATTCTGAAGATAGTGCAAGATCTGAGGCTTCACCAGAATTGATGAATCGGTTTAAACAGCGCCGTTTTTAATCCTAGGTTTTATTGCGCCTTGACGTCTGTTTTATAGTTCAATCTCGTCAGACGAAGCTAGATGTTTCCGTTTCCACTAGCTACGCCATCTCCTGTCATCCAACGCCCTACGGATAGGCAATGTGGTTCGGTAAATTTCTCTGCTTAACAATCAACTTCTGATCCGAGAAACTGTGTCAGCCTCGTAGAGAATCATTGAAACCGGTTTTGGTAGAAAAGAAAAAGCATGATAATACTAGTCAGCTTTGTCCGCTACTTGTCTAAGGATGTTTGGTGCAAGATGCCCGAACGACTAAGGCGCAGAATCACAAGTATTTGGGGAAGATATACATATACTAGAATCATGCATGTCTGAGGAGTCACAAACGGCTGGTGGCATGAATGGGGTGGATCGCACAGAATCAGAAAGACATCTAGAATTCCATACCGAAGTTGAAACTTTATACTTTAAGGTGTTAGCCCGGTGCTATGGCGGAAATGATAGCCGCTTCATTGGAGTCGCCAAAGCGGAATCATCGGTTCGTCTTTTTTTTTCTCCTCTTTTTTCTTTGCGACTTAGTCTCAAATGCAATTACATGAGATGAGGTATTTGATCCTCAGAGGCTTTCCATTCTCATGGATTGAGGTTTTTGTTCCTTCAAGAGCTCCTAAAACAAAGCGTTAAGTTTTACTTCCATGCTTATTGCAGAATCCAGCTGATCAGACTTCAGTAACAAGGTGCCAGATACAGAGCCATTGATATATCTGCAGGCGAAATCTCAAGCCTTGCATGCTACGTTGTAAAGCCCGTCACTAGTATGGACAACGCTTCCAAATCTAAAGTGATAGATCTTGGCAGAAAAGTTGAGAAAGGACCTTGCATCATCGGAAACATTATCTCTCGTCTCTTGAAATTGACTGCTGGAACACTGCTCTTCTTATTTGCAAATTTGCACCAGCAATGGAGCCTTGCAACGCCTCGGAGAGAACCAGATACGATCATCCCGCCATAAGATGCGCTCTTGGCGAACTGTCCAAACTTCCATCTTCCTCGATCCAGCTTTGTGTCTTTAC